GGAGCTGTCGAGGTTTTCGCCGGCGCTGCGACTAGCAGCCTCACGCGCTTGCGAGCGGGTGAGTACTGGAGACATTTTCGGAAACCCGAAAGCGGCGAATTCTTGCCTGAGATCCCCTCGCAGTGGGCTCCAGAAATGATACGATCTACGAAACCCTAACCCCTAACCTGGGTACGACCTAGGTGGACTAGAGGCGGGTTATTATCTTAGTGAGAGGGGAGTTAGCAGCAAGGTGTCCCGCGGTTCGAGTAAACACGAGAAACACCCTCGGAAAAGGCTATGAACGCTAGGGAAGGTACGAGGTGGCTCGATACGTCGTCGAAGCTACTCGGAGGCTGTGGGTGGTTAGTGGAGACGATTGAAGCTCGGCAGAGCTCTTCGATGTATCGTAGAGGGAAGGGACACAATTCGATGGGGTGGACTTAGCTAGGACGCGGTTCGCAGTTTCTTCGATAATAGTCGAAGTTGAAGGGTTCGTCGAGACGGTATCGACGAGTAAATGCAGTGGGCGAGGTTTCGAGGTTATGCAGTGAGGGACGAAGTGACGCAGTTGAAGGCTTAGACGCAGGGCGAACTCGACTTATGAGCTCTGAACTCGAGGGGGGAACCGGATCTTGCATTTTTAGAGAGAAGTACGACAGATTTTATACTACACAGGACGCTACGACTATCGAAAGTGGCACACTGGTACAAGGGGCTTTGCATTGTTCCTCAAGAAGCTGCCTCACCGAGTGGCACGCATCAAGTCCATCGGTAGAGTGACGTCATGCCGAACGCGGAGATGAAGAGAAACATATGGCCACTTCGGACCGGTAGCCGTCGTCGAAGGCATGCCGCGAGGTTCGATACCTAATTGGGAAAGACCGGCTACTTCGGTGTGGCTTGGAGCGATGCACGCGCTTGGACGAGCGGCGTCAAGTGGCCCTATTGTTCGCCGAATGCGGAAGATGTCCCGGGATCTACACGCGAGGCATCGGGACGACCGTGCCGAGCTTCGAGTAAGCGTCGCGCACCGTCGAGGATGTCGAAGAGCGTCGAAGGCGAAATCGAAGTGTTGTGAGACTGAGTCGAAGTGACGGGCGGGATGCGACTGCCGAAAAGAGGTGAATCGGGGCCCAGAGGGGCCTGGCGCCTATCACCGCGTCCTCACCGAGCTGATCCGGCTCGACAATCTGAAAGTTGCCCATCGCTTTCAACCGCTCCTACCGCGCAGCATCCGGGCACAACACAACAAATTCATCCCGCGCGCCATCCCCAACGCGTACTTACCCCTACCCGCACCCCTACCGACGTCTGCCTTCAGGCGCCCCCCGATCCCATCCCCTTTCCTCCAAGCAACGCCACGGAGCACTACCATCCCGGCTGACTGGCAACCCAACCCTGGTTGGACCCCGAAGGGAAGCTGCAGGCGATGCGGATCGTCTCGACACTGGGTACGGGACTGTCCGGACGTACGATGCGCAGGATGCGGAAAAGAAGCCCCTGGACACCTGGAGCAAGAGTGCGGAACCAGGCCGATGAAGCGACACGTATCCGCACCACCTGAAGAACCTGCGCGACGCGTGGGGGTGGTCGTCGACAACGTGTTCCTCGAAGGAATCATCAACGAGGCGAAGGAGAGGAAGCAGAAAGAAAGGCAGACGAAAGCGGTACCTATTTCTCCACCGCGCAGCGCTAACCCCGAACCCCCCGCCAATCCCGTCGCGGGACCTTCGCGCCCCCACCCCGATACACCCGTCGTCTTTCGCAAAGTCGATCCTGACTGGACACCGGACACCACTCAATGGACGTGGGACAGCTCCTGGCCGCATCAGAAGCACCTCTCTGGCGAGGAATGGATGAACGTGGGGAGAAACGCGCGCAAGGAGTGGTTTGACGAAGAGGAGGACGACGGCGTAGATTGGGAATTGTATGGAGATGGTGAGCAGTAAGTAGTCGAATGGGACTTCGACTCTGGCAGGGGGGTAATGAAACATTTATCTTTCTGTTCCATTCCTTGTATTACTAGCGCCCATACTGGCACCTGTCTTAGCGCTCACCCGCAGGTTGAACATTATGTAGCTTACATAATGGGGTCCGTGCGCACTTCGTGCCTGGTATCGTACCACTACGTTTCTTTCTTCACTAACACGACCACATAGACACGATGGTCCGTGCGCAGTCGGTACTTGTATAAGTAGTTGTACCATTAGTCGGTCGAACCCTAAGTTCGACCTGGTTATTCATTCAAGTCTCTGCTCCTCTTCGCTTGGGGTAGTGGTCATTCTCGACTTCCTC